ACTTCCCCCCGCTCTTCACAGCCTCTTCTATAGCATCGCTGCACTGTTCAAAATACCGATACAGGTCTTCAGCCGGATCATCGAACACAGGTATGCGTATGCCCCGGACCTGCTGGAGGCCGGGGAACGGCTGCTGCCTGGTGACATTAACGCAGAAGGTGACTCCCTCTCGCGTGAGCAGGTCCTCGTTGCAGGCTGCCCTGGCGTTGCCGATGAGCAGCGAGGCGGTGACCTTGCAGAGCTGGAGCAGGCGCCCGGCCAGCCAGGGCCGCGGCGTCACCGGCAGCACCGCCTCGCTGCAGAGCTCCCAGATCACCTCCTCTGCACGGTATTCGAGATGTGGCACAGCCCCGGTGTGGCGGGACGCCGGGGGATCGGGGTGCGGGTTGCTTCCCCCAGCAATGTGTACGGGCTGTGCTGGGCTGTGCTATATTTATCCCCTCTGAACAGCCTCAGGCGTAAAGGGTTCAGGCAGGTCCTAGTGCCTGCTGGATCCTGAGAGTCGCGTTTAAACAGCTAAAAGCAATTCCAGAGCCCATAGAGCATTTGTAAAACAATTGGATTTCTACAGTCCCTATCCCTATAGCAGCTTCTTAGAAGAAGCTAAAACCCCTGTCTTCATCACAGGAAGGCTGCTGCTGGCATCAGCACTGATGCAATATTGATCTGATCACCTCCAGCTCACGTCCAGATCATCTAGTTGCCCCTCGCCTACAACAAAAGCGTCTTTTGAATACCCAGAAAATGATTTACTAGGCTAGCTAGATACGGTAGTGCTAATCTTTCTGGACTTCAGTAAAATTGCTGGTGTGGTGCCAGGGCAGAGTATCTTACGCATGAGTGTGTGGACAGACATTCAAGCTGTGAAGGATGGGAGGGAACGGGGCCAAGGACTCGGCCACGGGAACGCCACATCAGCTGGTGCCAGGCGGGTGCTGCAGGGCTGGACGCAGGTACCAGCTGCTTCCTGGTGGATTGAGCATGTGCCTGAGCTTCTTGAACACTTTTCTTTCTGGCCATGACGCAAAAAAAGGAGCCTGTGACCGATATTTGCTGCTGGCACAGAGATGAACCTGGACTACCACAGCAGCAGGGCATGGACTAATAGGACCGGTGTAAAACGCAATGCCAGCCAGTAAGGAATCAGCTGTGAGGGACGAAGATGAGCTTATAGTCCATCATGGAGGGAGGGGAAGCTGACCTGCTGCACACCTGCCATCACTTGTGTCAATAACAGCCTGCCAGAGAGATGCCGGCTCTGGGGCCAAGGGAGGTGGCTCCCTAACATGAGCACAAGAGTATGGCGTCCCCTCCTGCTGTTTGGCACACGCCTTAGCTGCCTGTGGACTCGTTCCTCTGCCCTGTTGCTTCCTTTGCCCAGGGCTCAGGGTATCTGGCTGGAGAAAGGCTCTGCCGGCGCGA